TGTGTTCGATCCTAGCTTCGTGCAAGGATTGATTTTGTGTTTTGATAGTTTAAGTTTCAGAATGATATAATGGGAATTTATATTCTCGATTTCGTTCTGGTTCAAGATTAAAGCTTAAACCAAATACTTGCAGAAATAGCCGGCTATGGTCTGTCCAGTGGGCATATTATCAAAACTCTCTGATGATCCCCAAAAGAATTTTCGAGCGCAGCACGTCCAATGAAAGCATACGATTTCTAGCCAAGATAACTAGGCTAAAGTGAAAATAGCCTGAACACGTCAATTTTGATAAAAGTCCGTTTTCGCCGCGTTTTTGAATTCTATTCGCAAAATAAATATTCCTTTTACTAAATTGTTTTGTTAGAAATTGTTGTAGTAGAATTCGTCAACAGAAAAGATGAAGTTCGATCGTAAATCTTTTCTCTTTAAATAGCTTAGTTTTATTTTATCTTGTTTGACTAACATTATTTTTAATAGTTTTGATATATAAATAAATGAAAACCATATGTTGAATTTACTTTTGTAATAGACTAAGATAGATATGGTGAATAACTTTCACCATCATGCTCAATAGTAATTCCATCATGTTTCGGATTTTCGTCCGAAAAGAACAGCATTGAGAGCGTTTCTTTTCATTTCGAATGCAGAATCACTTTCCATGTCTTTTCATGTGTAAACTCAATCAAGAATCTCTTGTTTTTTTTAAATATTTTATTAAAAAACACACCTAAATCATTCGAGATTAATGCATATATATTAAAAACAAGTTCATTAAAAAAATGTTTAAAAGCTATAAAGTAAACGTAATCAAATAGGTCGGATAAACTACACGATTTTCGTACACAATATAAACTTACTGCCTCCTGTAGTGCCTGATATACTATTATATGGTAGACCAGAAATGGATTCAATTTTTTTCGGAGGTCGACGCAATTTTGGATTACTCGGACAATCATAGACGTCTCCAGTTAGAAATTGCGCTAAAAATGCTTGACATTTACCATTTGATAATTTATGTGCATAACTTGGACATGAGTACGAAGCATTTTTAGCAAAATAGACACCGATACCCCACATACCACTTGTACTGAATGTTATATCGAAACCATATTCACCATTATAAACTTCACTGGGTGGTGTTGTTCTCGTTCCATGAAATAGTTCCATCTCAATCTGTAAATCAGACTTATCACAAAAATCTTCTTTAAGCTTTCGACGACGAAATGAATAATGATTCCACATACGAACATTTTGTACTCGTTCAATTTTCTCAATTTTTGTATTACTCAAAGTTTCTTTCATACAATTTTCAATGCGAATAAAAATCGGATCATTTCGATTAATTTCAACTAATTTACAACCTTCTTTCTGGTCACTCCAGTCTTTTGGTATGGTTAATTCATTTTCATCATCAACTTGCATTTTCAAAGTATCATGCGCATATAAAGTAATTTTTAATTTTGCTTCTTGTATTGTTGGTTTTAAACCTTTTAATATCATTGATAATTGTCTGGAACATTCTTGTTGAAAATGGATTTGAATTTGTTGTTGAGTTGTAATAGATTTAATCTGTTCCTTATGTACATCCAGATCTTTATCCAAACTAATGGAATATTGTTCTGAAATAGTGGCAGAATCAATTGCTTTTCGAATTACCGTTTCAGCCAGAGTAATGGCTGCACTGTTGATGCCAGTAATATCCCATTCATCGTTTGTTGTGACCATTTGTAAACTACAGAGATCCAATGATTTAGGAGTATAAGCAACAGGTGTTGACTAAATCTGTTGTACACAACTGAATAACGAATTATCTGTCGTCTATAGCCAGTTCTTTCTCTCATTTGATGTCCACAAACAAGTCGATCATTGAGAACACTTAGATTGCTGGTTAAAGTTAATGCTCAAACGGACGCTTCGTTCGAAAGAGATTTACATTTCACTGATAAAAGTCGCACATATTTGAACGAAAATTTTGGAATAATAAAGCGAATGAAGATTTATTTTTTTTTTGCAACGACGATAGATATAGCCAAGCCAATTCTATAGCAAGACAATTCTTTTTCTATCATATTCATCAAGAATAGGCCTGATCTACGTACATTTGGTTCCAGTTCCAGTAAACACAATTATAATTGATTTTTAACTATATTGCGTCAAGTACAGAATATAACAAGCGTATTCGTCTGACGCATTTTATTTTTCAAGTTACTCTTCAACTCACTGAAGGGTCCCTCCCTCTTTTTGTAAAAATTTCAGATTTTGAGCTGAGCATAGCGTGATATAGAGAAAAGTGTGGGCTACAGAATAAGAACCGCTCCCAGTATTTCACGACCTTTTTTCAAAAGTTATGGATTTTTAAAGTTTTTCCTTCAAAAGCTAAAAAAACTCAATTTTTTAGTCTCATAAACTTTTCTCTCATTTTCTGTACATGCAAAATTTTTCTTACACATAGTCTGTTAGAAGAAAGTGTTTTCTTCACAATGAGATGTTTTACAGAATTTTCCGATGAGTTTTCGCGGAGATATAAGCATCGCGGCAAATGCTCGGAAAAAAGTGACATATGTACAAAATGCGTTTTTTCTCGAAGTGTGTTTTTTCAATAGCCCCTTCAATTGGCACACATTACGACCCCTCGAAAAAATGGTCCGACCGAGCTCAAAATTTTACCACAGATATCTCAGACCCTATCTCAAGTTCGTTTTTATTTTAAAGCGTTTTCGATTTCAACTTTCGGCCTGAGAAGGTTTTCAAAATAAAAAATTGGTTTTTTATATGGGATTTTCAGTATTCTCTGAATATCTCGAGAAGAAAGTATATTTTTCAAAAAGAAAAAAACGAACCTGAGATAGGATCTGAAGTATCTGTGGTAAAATTTTGAGCTCGATGGGACCGTTTTATCGGGGGGTCGTTATGTGTGCCAATGAAAACTGGAGTTTTCCAGAAAACCCATAGGAAAACACGTCAGAAAATTCTGGGCAAAGATACTTCGATTTCCTTTTTCGATGCTCTATCTCTGGTATAAATTTGAACCTGATCTGACATCGGCTTCTCCGGTTTTCAAGATGGTAAAAAAAGAGGGGACGGGTACCCTTAAAGCAACCTTGGATTTTTCTGTTTCACCCCACATCAAACATGACATAACGGTAATTCCACAAGATATCGACCACTGTTTACGCAATATTTTTCGTACGTCTGAAGATCGACTTCACAAGGGTTTTGGTAAGTTCATCAGAAGGCCAAAACAGAAAGATAGAGGGATAAGTTATATTTTCATTACGTTTCACGCTCGTATATCTCAAAATGTATATCAACACATCACTCATTAAAAGTTAACAATTTTCGACAAAAGTTAAAATAATCCTAATTTTCACAGCTTCTTTTTAAGAACGTAAACATTTTGCTATAAATTTTTTTTACAACCGCTTTTTTCGTTACAGAAAAGCTCAAGTCTTGGAACTTGAACTGACACTTACTACGCGCGCAGTCCTCATGACTGCCTTTCTGCAACTTTCTTCTCAGCAAAGTTGAGAATATATGCGTAGAACATCATCGAAACAATTCCAGTGATAAACGTTCTAACGTAGTTAGAGAAAAGACAAATTTTTTGTGAAAATTCTCTATGAATCATGCGAGTTTACTGCAGTTAACGATGGAAAATGGTTTAAATGTTTAAACTCGACTTATTTGCTATAAAAAAATTTAATTTTACAATAAAGTAAAATTTATTTATGACAAGCAAGTCGAGTTTAAACATTAGAAACATTTTTATAGATGAAAGCGCATGCATCTGTCACATATTTGCAAAATAGAAAAGATTTTCGAGGACTTTAATGCCCTTTGTATAGAAAATTAATAATCTCCTTTTCATGCTGTTTACAATCTTCCACTGTTTGGCTAGAGAAATGTATTAGAAAAAGAGTCACTTCTGTGCAACAACCGTCAATTTGAGTTACCTTAAAATTGATCTTTGTTGTCTGAAAGCTCCAGCATAATTTACTAAAATAATCGCACAAGAGTTTCCTCTAGTCGATCACACTCTGTGATTTTAGATACGTTGAACTGAAAAAACGAATTGTTTTACCTATGCTTAGTTTTAAACAAACGTTTGATAGTTCTTTATTTCTTTCAATCGGAAAAAATTAAGAATAAGTCCATTATAGCTTGCAAACAATGTCTTTTCTCTTTGTGTTTAAATAAATACATAATTTCTTGGATAACCATGACTAAGGGAAGGAATGTAAAAAGTTAAAATTTTTTGAAAATTCCCCTATAGGGCATTTTCCGATTTTTTTTGCGGACATAATAGAAGACCATGGTCTTCTATTTGGCTTTCAAGTCATATAATCGGCAGTGGTCTTCTAATAGGGGATGGTCTTCTATTATGGGGGGGGGGGGGGGTTTGTATAAGTTTTTTTAAAAATTTAGTTTAAAATGTATTACATTAGTTTTAGTTTAAATGAGCGCATCTTTTTAGAAAAGTTTCAGATTCTTTTTGAAACGCTAAACGAATAAATTGTACAGTATTTTCAGAAACTTCTTCCTATATCACTTTTCATTTCAGTCTTCTTTTGAGCACTGTCAATGGTCTGATACTGTATCATACAGCTACCTGTATTAAGGAACGATTTTTTTGAACGCACTCTCCCACTGCTTGCACATTCAACCCCTTAATACACATACACAAGTAGCTAAATATCTGTAATGAAAAATGTTTAAATTCTGTGAATGATTGAAAATTTTACCGAGATCGAAATCACGAGAAAACGATATATAACTTTGTGTTTATCGTGTACTGAAGAGAAGAGCTGATGAAACATGGTAAGAGATAAAGTGTTGCAAAAAAGGAATGACTTCATCTCGTAAATTAAAACAAGAAAAAAGAGTATTTCATCTCCATTATCGCGGGGAGAATAAAGTATCTCGAAGTATCTCCATTTTTAATGAGTGGCCAAAACTATTTTTAACATTTATTACCCGCGGTGACACACTTGGACTTTTATACAGTCTCTCCAATGGAAAAGAAAACGCCGCTTCTCACAGTGGGCATTTAGGCGGCATTTTCTGAAAAAATCGTAGGCACGAAATTTTCTGTTTTGAATAGCGGTATATATAGTGTAAACAATGCCCTATTTAACAGTGAAAATTTTTTTGTTCTAGCTGCTTCCAAAGTGGAGAAA